TAGTACCTTGTGTATGGCCAATAAAGTTTCTGAACATTATACACAAATGATGTGGTAATCACATAAAATATTGAGAGAATTCCTTATTTGACACTGGGAAAATGAGTCGTTCCTTTCTTGACCCTGAAATTTTCTTCGTTCCCTATTTGACACTCACTTCAACTTTCATCCCTAATTTGACACTACTGTCAAATCCGTTAGCTAACGGTGTTAACTAGCTGTTAAAAAGACATTTTTACCCCTAGAAAAAAAGCGGCGAAGCAAATTTGAGAGGAAAAAAACCTGCGCCTTTTTTTTGCAGCTGGGCGCATGCATCAGAGGCGGGAGCAGGTTTTTTTTCCTCTCAAATTTGCTTCGCCACTTTTTTTCTAGGGGCAAAAACGTCTTTTTAACAGTCAGTTAACACCGTTAGCTAACGGATTTGACGGTAGTGTCAAATTAGGATGAAAGTTGAAGTGAGTGTCAAATAGGGAACGAAGAAAATTTCAGGGCCAAGAAAGGGACGACTCATTTTCTCAGTGTCAAATAAGGAATTCTCTCTAAAATATTTGCATGAAAATGAATTAATCACTTGGAGATTAGGATATAAGCTAATGGGCTTAATTAAAAGTGCAAAAATAAATTGCATAGAAAAATAAAGTGGAATATATTGTTATTGAGAATGTCATATGACAACGCTTTGAACAATATATTCAACACATCGGTTACATGTTATTGGGAATTGTCATGGGCAAACACTTTGAACAATGTAACTATGGTGGTATGTGTTATTGGAAATGCCATTGAACAAACTCTTTGATCAGTGCCAATTCTAGCATGGAATAATTTTCAATCTAGAACAGTAATTTTATTTGCTTGTAAATTTAAAATTTACATTGAACTAAGGGCTTAAAAGCACATAAATATATCACTTATGCAATTTCCTAAAGATCTGAGGATCCAGAATATATATTTGCATGCGGAAAATAAAGCATAGTAAAACATATTGTAGCCAGAAGACTACATTATAAAGTACAGATAATAAAATCTGCAATTAACGTTTTAACCTGTGGGCTAAAACATTTAAAAGTATAGTACATAATTATCTAGAAGGATAATTATTTATTTTACTGAAAATGCAAGGTCTTTTCTGCAAAAGCACAGAGCCTTATCCAAACACACGGACGGTCTCTCCTCGGGAGAAAACCGTCGCTCGGTCCTTGAGGCGGACGCCGTCGGCCCGCCGCCAGAATGGCCTCCGGCCGTCGGGGTGAGGCCGCAGCGAGGTGCAGGCCAAGTCGATAGGAGCCGCTTGGCCGCTGGCGCGGGAGCCGCCTGCCACCGGCGCGAGGCCGCAGGCATGGGGGCCACTGGCGCGTGCCGCCCGGCCGTGTGGTCTTGAGAAGGTCGGCCGCCGCCGCCGAGAAGCAGGGCGCCAGCCGCGGGAGCACCGGACGTTGGGGTGCTATTGTGGGCTGGGGGCCGCCGGCTTGGGCTGGTCGGCCGCGGGGCTTCGAGGCCGCCTGCCGCAGGACCGCCGGCCATGGAGACGCGGAGGCTGCCGGCCACGGGCCGCCGGGTGCGACGGCGAGCGCAGGGGTCGCGCGCTGTCCCAGCCGGAGCCGCTGGCCGCAGGCACGGGGCAACCTGGCGCCGACCGCCGGCTTTGCTGCCGCAACTGCGGGCGTGCGAGCAGAGCACCGCTGCCGGCTGCCTCCGTACCGATGGAGGCGCAAGGCATGGTGCCGGCCACCACAGACACCGCACAACCGCTGCGTGCTCGCCACTCATGCGTGCAGCGGTCGTTGCCGGTCCGGGGGGTCACGCTCGCCGACCTCGGAGCGGGTGTCCGCTGGTGCTCATGGCGTTGACAACAAGCCAGCGACCATGCTCGATCTCACGGTGCTGTTGCACGGGGTCCGAACGGACCACAGTGACCATGGCCGAGGAGAACACGGTGTCCGCGGCTTTGTTGACATGGATTTGATGAAGGATGAAGATGTCACTACAACAATCAAGGTAAGACTAACATCAATAGATGGCTTACTGTAGTTCTTGATCGTTGCAAAAAGATGAGACACCGATGAAGATAAAAAAAAAGGTCTCTCATTCATTCTCCATTCTTCTCTTCTGGAACGGCATCTGCTTCTTCCTTCCGGTGAATGCAGAGAGCGAAGGGCAAAAGAGTTGGCGAACTCAGCGATGCTCTTCTTGTTCTTTGCTGGAACGGCCTCTACTTCATCCCTTTCGAGAGAAAGCAGAGAAGGCTATGCGTGCTGATAACGTGTTTAGCGTAGAGTGTCTTTGATGTAAAGCAAGAGACTCGAGAGATAAATGAGAGTGATCATTCATTGATCCATAATTGTAAATATATATATATACATGTGAAGGCACAACTTCCGAAGAGGTGTCTTCTAATCGAACGGTTGATCACTAATAAAGTAATTCATAACAATTGATACTGTTATAACGTCCAGCAGAAGCTTCTGTGACGTGGTGTTAATAATTTGGTTGCATTGGGCACTGATATATAGATGATACTGTATAAATACAAATGATAACCATTTTTTACACAAAAGTAGATTGTCACAATGATGCGATGCCATTAATACGTACAGTGTCTTGCGCACAACGGATCAAATGATGGGTGCCTTCATTTCGTAGCTGCTTCGCATTTGGGCCTGGATCTAAATACCATTGGGCTGAGATTTGTACATGCTAATTACGGGGCCACAGTGGCCCACAATGGAAGCTCAAAATCTCTAACACGCGCTGCCTCCAGGGCTCCAGGCCCGCAACCATTCTTTCTGCTCCTATATATACCAAAAGCAGGATTACAAGATGAATAACAGATCGGGAACCCTGCCTCCATCAGGTACTCCAATCACCGGCGGTGGCGGCATCACCTCCGCAGCAGGCCCCGTGCGTCGACGACGAGTCCGGCGACCCCGACGTGCATCCTGGCACCACGGTTATCTCCAAGGAGATTCCGCAGTGAATGCAGCAGTGACGCCCTGATCGATGTGGTGGTCGTCGAAGGGGTAGCCCATACGGCGAGCGCGGTAGTACGCCATGAATGACGAAGCCGAAGCTACATACGGTAGCGGAGGCATTGTACATTGATCTCGCTTTCTCCTTCACGAACAGTTTTTCTTCTCGTAATCGGCGTCGCGGAGACAGAGCGAGACCAGGGCGCCGAGGGCCAGCGGCATGATCGTCGGCGCTACCCCGGACGCGAACACTGATGTATAGTTGTGATCAGATCGCTGGCCGTTGCAGCAACCAAGAGGCAAGGGTGCTGGGATGGGATTGGTATGGGTACAGACCTAGATCACTAGCTATGGATAGAAATAGAACAGGATCACTAGTCATAGATCTAGCATATGTACTTGAATTTAAAATAAACAGCGAGTCCTAAAACATCTACTAGTACGGGATTAACAGATAGAGTGAGAGGGAGGGGGGGGGGTGGAGGAGGTGTAAACTATCGGCCGCCTTCGTAAAAGACAAGCTGGCCATGGGGTTGCTGACGGTGGCGCGGGGAAGCCTGACGGCGAAGACGCTGTCGTGGTGGTGACGGTGCAGAGGTGGCGGTGGCCGGTGGCGGTCTTCCTGTCGCTGGCAGCACCCCCTGTCTAGATCGGTTAGGGTTTAGAGACTGTAGGTGGAGCGTCTGGTGGCTCAGGTGAACCTCGTGTCTTGTGCCTCGGTCCCCACCTTCCTTTTTATAGCGCTGTGCGATGGAAGCCCAATAACTATAGAACGGTTGGACGCCCATGATCAGAGCGCGGACCCACCGATTAGTGGAGATATCTAACAAGACCGTCTATCAGCCTGTTCGCTTGCTCGTAAACGATCGTAAATTTCCAGCCAGGAACAGTGTTTTTCTCTCACACCAAACCAGCCAGCAATAAATAATCCACGATACGATACGGCCTTCCGAACAGGCTGTATAGCCTTCCGAAACCAGGTAAGGTAGCCATGTGGTGCCCTACAGAACACTCAACTCATTAGCCCCTGAAAAGGCTGCAACTTGAAGAAAAAGGACTTCAACATCCATCACCAATCGATTTGGGAGCACTGAAAGATCTCGTCAATCTCAGGAAGTAGGCGTATCATGCAACTCTAGGAATACAGTGTGTCGACAAGGACATCTCTAGTCTTTTTAATATTATAGCTACGTTCAGATGAGTGGCACTAGCTAGACAGGTGGCATTTAGAATCAGAGTGCCCTCCCTTTTTCTGGATGGCGGCTAAATATGCTGCAATTAACTAGAGCTCAGAGCTCCGGCCAGCCCGCCATGGCGGCATTTGGTCACCCCCTGGACCATCGTTTCTGAAAGGACAAGCGTGAGCTTTTTTCTGAAAGGACAGGCGTGAGCTTTTTCTTGGAGCATGAAAGCCCCCATTTGACAAGTATTTCCGGCAATATAGGCCTTGTATAGTTCACCAAAACTTCCAACTTTGGCACTATGTAAAAAAAAGATTCCCCGTCACATTAAATTTGTGGTACATGTATGGAGTACTAAATGTTGACGAAATCAAAAATTAATTGCACGGTTTGGTTGTACTTTACGAGACGAACGTTTTAAACCTAATTAGTCAACGATTGGACAATTATTACCAAATAAAAACAAAACGCTACAGTGCGCTACAGTGTCAACCGAATTCTGCCGGCGCCAACTCTGGGGTGAACTAAACGGGCCCATAGAATGGTCGCCGTCGCCCTGCCCCTGACAGGACAGGCGTGAGCTTTTTCTTGGAGCATGATGGCCTTGGCCGGTTGGGTGTCCTTTTCCAAGCAACCGCGTGCACAAGAATATTTATCTCTCTTTTCTTTTGAGAATATTTCTCCCTGTCTTTCATGTTCTGCCCCGATAGCCCTTTTGTTTTGGGAGCACTTCGTCCCTATAAATTGTCGCAGAGATCGCCCTTCTCGAATCAAACTCGCTCCAACCCAAGCTAAGGAGCTCAAGGACACTACTAGTGCTAGAATCAGTGCGATTTACTCCGCATTTCACATGGCCGACCGGCAATATTCTACCCTGACCAAGCTAGGCCTGGGCGCCCTGACCTTCAATTCGGTGCTCGCCATCTACAACTCCTGGGGCGACGCCGCCTCAGTCACGTCCGTGCTCGCCGTGGATGCCGCGCTCGTACTGGTCTTCCTCTGCCTCCGTGAGTTCGAGCGTGGCGGCAATGGCAGGGATGCCAAGACCAAGGCCGCCGTGTGGGCGCTCACAGCGCTGCTCACGGCCATGTTCGCGTCCGGGGTAGCGCCGACGATCATGCCGCTAGCCGTCGGCGCCCTGGTCTTGCTCTGCCTCCGCGACGCCGATCACGACCGCGCCAGAGAAGAAGGCGGCGGCGGCGGCGGCAGAGTCAACATGGACGGGCAGTATTGCGTGCTTGCTAAGGTGGGTTTCGCCGTGCTGACGTGCAGCACGGCGCTGGACGCCTACGACACCCGGCGCGACTCGGACTCGGCGGCGCTCGTTTTCGTGTCGTACACCCTCCTCGGAATCCTGACGGTCCTTTTCGTCCGTGCATTCGCCCGCGGTCATGCTGCCGAGCAGGGGCAGGGGCAGCGGTTGCTGTGTCATCTGCGCACGTTCCTTCGTTACATGCAGCCCAGGGGTCGGCAACAAGATCGCTGGCAACGCCCGGCCCGTTGAATATACATCAACGAGAAGCCTTTATTTGCTTGATGTAATGTACATGCATGTTTCTTTGTTTTTCCCTGTGATTGTACATGAGATAGTGCATCAAAGACGTGTAATGCAAATTTCCTTTGCCTTTTCCTTTTTTGGAATAAAGTTAATCATGTTTTGTATGGTCTCGGTGTATTTGCACTCAACGTTCCTCTCTCTTCGAGTTCATATATGTACAGGAATGAAGTGCAGAGGTCGGGAATGAAGTGCCCGGCGCCCGGCCATATATAGCAACAAACAAATACACACAACGATGTGTGCTGATTGGAGCACCAAGAAAAGGAATCTAGGGCCTGTTCGGAAAAAGCTCCATTAAACAAAGTATTTCCGGCAATAATATATGTTAGCTATCGATGGAATTGAACTGGAATTTGGGATAGGTAGAGGATTTGGGGACAAGATCAGAGGACTGCTTAGCCAGGTTCGAGTTTAGTACAAGTTTGATGATGGATCCTTCTACAAAGCTATCACACAATATATAGATATATAATTTTGTACCCGTGAACAGCATGTGATGTGCACATCCTATTCTCGCGCGCTTTTTGTTTTGTATTTTCTTAATTCTGTGTCCTCATATCCCTCAATTAAGAATTATTGTTGATACTATTTGTTGATATGAAGTTCCGTTGTAATACCAATAACAATTGTAGCGATCATGCTGACACTGTGAATTGGTGATGTTGGCTTCTGCCGGCTGGCTTTTGTCGCGTGTTTATTTTTTTTTTTGGAAAATACTAATATTCTTTCTAATAAATATCAGCATTGGATTTTGTGTATCATTGTTTTGTTAGTATTTGATGGTTTTAGTTCAGCCGTCAAGGGAAGAAAATATTCGAGGTCGGCCATATGCACACAAACAGTTGGGGCAGATAGATATACGCCCAGCAGTGCTGCATGGAACAAGTACCTGGTACGATTGTGCCTCGCTTTCTTCAGGGAAATAGGTATCAATCTTTGCTTTGAATAACAGGCAAGATGAGCTTCTTTTTAAGTAAGATCGCTGCGCGTGCCTTTGGTACTTGCGTAGGCTTCTGCCGTTGGGCATGGGCGGACCGACATCAAATTCCATTTGGTTTTGAGCCTGTACAGCCGAGACATATGTATCATGTATAGCAAAGGATCCACTGGATCAAAGCTGCTCATATTTTATGGCGTACTTTATGGATGGTCAGTGAAGAGGAACATCTGCGAGAATTTGTTAGTCTCGGATGAAAGTTTCACCTCATCACATTCCTGCCACATCGAACCGTAAACACTGAGGTACGGTAGTTGTCCCATATCTTCACATCATCGTCGGTTCAAAAACCCTCTTCACTGTCAGATTTTGAATCGACTGTGGCATACCGACAGTGATAAAAGGGGCTCATCACTACCTGTCATAAAAAACCGACAGTGATGTTATTTTTAGGAAATAAAAAAAAACAGGCTGAAAAAATAGGGAATTTTTTTAATTCTAGGAGAGGCCCCACTGGACAGTCACACGGTTGCGCATCGTAAGTCATAAGTCACGCGATTGCGCTCGAACCTCTAACCTCGTGCTTCGCATCTACAGTCCCTAACCACTCCACTTGCAAATTGTTTGTGTCCAAATGAGATTTTCGTCCTAGCCATTTAATGTTCATCTGATTTTGAAATGAATATTTGGGACCCTAAATGAATTCAAATGAAAAAGTTGTCAACTACAAAGTTTTATAACTTTTCGAGATCTACAACTTTCAGTTTGGTGGTTTCTCTATCCGAGGTCGTTTACAAAATTTAAATTTCAAATCTGAAAAATTCAAACGAAGTTTATCATGACAAGATGATTTCAAATCAAAAAGTTGTCAACTACAAAGTTTCGTAGCTTTTTGAGATCTACAACTTTTGTTTTTGCTGTTTGTCCATCCGAGATCGTTTAAAAAGTTCAAATTTCAAATTTTTGGAAATTCAAACGTAGTTTTCCTTGACAAGATGATTTCAAATCAAAAAGTTGTCAACTATAATGTTTCATAACTTTTTGGGATCTACAACTTTCATTTTGGTAGTTTCTCCATCCAAGATCATTTACAAAATTTGAATTTTAAATTTTAGAAATTCAAACGTAGTTTTACTTGACGAGATGAGTTCAAATCAAATAGTTGTCAATTATAGAGTTTCATAACTTTCTGAGATCTACAAAATTTACTTTTTGGTCATTTGATCATTTATTCATCCGACATAGTGATAGTAACATTGCTCACAAATGTTACATATCCCTCTTAAGTTCATGACTTTTTCAGTTGAAATCATTTAGTGCTCCAAAATGACGATTGAAGTTATCATTTTTTGAAATTCAAAATTCAAATAGATAAAACACAGTCACATGAAAAGATGGATAAAATTATAGCTGTAAGAACATAATAAATTGATAAAGCATGATTTTAGAAATTTTTAGGAAAAAAATCATCGAATTTGAAGTTAGTACGAGGGAAAAAGACTAGTTACAAGTTTTAACCAGAGATTAAAAAGAGATATAAGAGTTCTTCAATAATTTCAAATTTTAATTTAAAATTGCACTTTGAAGTAGTAAATAATTTCAAATGAAAAAGTTATCAACTACAAAGCTGCATAACTTTTTGAGATCTACAACTTTTATTTTGGACGTTTCTCCATCTGAGGTCATTTAAAAAATTCAAATTTCAAATTTTAGAAATCAAACCTAATTTTCGTTAGACAGAAGATTTCAAATGAAAATATTTGGATTTTCAAACGATCTCAAATTAAAAAAGTTTGAACTACAAAGTTGTAGATCTCGTAGAATACTACAACTTTGAAATAAAGTTCATCTTCATCGAACATCATATGAGAAACTTATGAAGTTTTCTTATAGCATATCACTATCGGATCAAGCCACGAACCGACAGTGATAGTATCAGTGTCGGTTCTTGGCTAAAACATGCAGTGATGATCCAATATCACTGTCGGTTCTTACCTAAAACCGACAGTGATATGAACCGACAATAAAGACCCAAATATCAGTGTCGGTTGGTCCTATCACTATTGGTTTTAACCAAAAGCCGACAGTAATGAGCCATCACTGTCGGTTTCTTAAAATCCAGCAGTGATGTCCAATTCTATAGTAGTGACGGACCGTTGCAGCAACCAAGGGGCAAGGGTGCTGAGATTGATATGGGTACACAGGCTGTCTAAAGCCTTCCAAAACGAGGTAATATAACCTCTCCAGAACACTCATTAGACCCTGCAGCTTGAAGAACAAGGACTTCAGTCACGGATTGATTTGGGAGCACTGAAAGATTTCGTCCATCTCACGAAGGAGCTAGGAGTATCATGCAACTTTAGAAATTGAAATTTGGCTTTCCCTAAGCACATCTCTAGTCCTTTGTTAATATTATAGCTACGATCAGATGAGTGCACTGGTGTAACGATCCTAGATAACTAAATGGAGTTTGGAAGGAAAACGTAGCAAGAATTTAGGAAGAACAGAGATGGAGCTCGGCTGAATCCCGAGAGGAGGAGTTCATTAGACGGGGGATTTAGAGTTCTGTTCTTCGTTGACGGTTACAAAGGCGGGGCTCAGCTTATAACAGACGCTGGCAGCGCATCCAGCTCACATGGTGCTGACACGGCACTGACTCACATCTGGGCCCGCTACAAATGACGGCCCATGGCCCACTTGCGTAACACTCCCCCTTTCTTAGCAAAAGCTTGTCCTCAAGCTTTATCTACAGATGACTACTCGCCCAGCCGCAGAGCTTTTGGTATCTTGTTCTCATCTTCCCAAGTAGCCAACTCTGGTGGCATCTCACTCCAATGGATCAGCAACTGTGGAACCACCGTGGCTCCTCTTAGAATCGAACGACGCCTGAAAACTTGATGTGGCTTCAAAATCTGGGCAGGATCAGAGCACAAAGAAGATAAATCTGAACTTACAGAAGTCATAGCCGGAACATGTTGCTTCAACTCGGACACATGCACCACCGGGTGTATTTTAGCATCATCGGGTAAGTTCAGCTTGTAAACAACTTGGCCAAACCTCTGCAGAATCTTGAAGGGGCCAAAGTATCGAAAAGATAGCTTCTGACTAGTCCTATTAGCAACAGAAGACTGAACATATGGTTGTAATCTCAAATAGATAGAATCGCCAACTGCAAACTCACGCTCGGAACGATTCTTATCTGCCTGGGATTTCATTCTTTGTAGTGCTCGAAGTAACTGCTGCTTCACCAATTGTGACAAAAACTCCCTATCAGTGAGCCACTGTTCAAGATCCGGCACCATGCACAACTGTAAGTTCGCTATCGGCGGAAGTCTGCTAGCCACAGGGCGGGGTTGGTGTCCCCGGAGTACTTGACCATGTTCGGCGGCGAGCGGAAGCGCGCCAGGAATGGCATCTGTCGGATCCTTTTTGCGAACGCCTACGGGCCGCAAGCGTCCGGGCTTAGGCTGCGTCGAGCATCCCGGACCCTGGGGTGTCGTCCATGGTGATCCGGGTCGCTGTCGTTGTAGTGCAGCTGATCTTTGCCTACCAGGTCTGGCCTAGGGCATCTGGGGCCTTGAGTCGGACGGGCGTTGTGGTTCCCGACATAGCGGCGACGCGCTGGGGAAAGCTCCCGCCTGCGCGCCGTGCCACCGTTGACGGGCCGAAGTATGCTCGGTGCGTGGTACCCCTCGGGGGCGCCACGCGCTGAAGAGATGTGCACAAGGCTGGCCTCGGGATGCCGCCTCTCTGCAGAGCTTTGAGCTTGCTGTATCGCTGTCGTTTCCAGCAAATCTCGCAGCTCCTGGTGAACGCGCTTTGCCTCGTCGGTCGAGGGTTCAGGGGTCGTCCGTATGATCATGGTGGTCGCCGTGACATTCTGGCTGTCTCGAGGGAAAACGGGTGTCTCCATCTTGCCTTGTTGGATTTGATCATATACTCAGCGTACCCACGCCCATGCTCCCTCAACGTCGAGGTGCTGCGGGCTAAGGCATCCGTCGTCGCGACGTTCGTTGGCCTGATCAACTTCATGGGTCCGGGCTTGTTCCAGGCACTCCTGGTCATACTCTGCCTGTTATCCGGGGTACGTGGAATCGGATAGGTGTCGTCCTCTACGTCCTCCACCGGTGCCACCCCATCCTCTGAGAGGTGCAACATGTTGCATTCCCTCAGTGGATGGCAGCTCCCTTTAGAATCAGACTCGAAGTCTGTGTTCTCGGGGGTCATCAGCAGGAGGTCGTAGACGAACTTGGGATCCCGCTCCATCATCCCCACACACCCGGAGGAAACTGGCATCATCGTGTGGCCATTGCGCCTGGCTAGCTCTCGCTCGAAGAGGGTAATTGCGTCCCTCGTTTTGGAGGACAGCGTGGTGCTGGGGTTCTAGAATTCAGCCTCTAGCGGTAGGGGCCCGCTCTCAAAGAGCTGGGCGAAAGCGTTCGCCAACACGTGGAAAGCGCATCGGCTTAGCTCTTGCTCAGGATTCGCTATGAGGTATGTGTCGATCCTGCATGCTAGCGCCTTAGAATCGACGATCGTGGGACCGGCGTGGGCCGGTCTGTGATCGAGCGTCGAGATGTGCGACGGAGTCGCATTCTCTTCACTAAGCCGCAGCTGACCCAGGTGGTCGGCTATGAAGTCTCGGTCTCCAAAGCGCAGAGCTTGGCCGGGGAGAAGACCGTTAACAGGAGTTGGCCTGACGATGTCGGCGAACTCAAGGCTTCCAAAGCAGATGCGGCCACCGGAGGCCGCGCCAAGAGCACGTCTGACATAGGTGCGGGGAGGCATCACTTTCTTCTCAGCAACGACAGTGTGTGACTGTCCACTATCTGGTGCGCCAACTGTTGGTGTTTTGTAAATTAGACTTGTAAACTTATACGATTGACGCGCTGCTCTAGAAAGACGATGGTAGCATCCAAAAGACATATGGATTTATACTGGTTCAGGCCGGAGCCCTACGTCCAGTCTCAAAGATGATTGAGTGCATGTTCCTCGCTTGAATGCTCTAAAATTCTTACAATGAGGGTGCAAGATTGGTGGAAGAGGTAGGAGGGCTAGAGCTAGGAGATGGACTGCCTGAAGGAAAGCCTTGGGAGCCCTACTATGGTGCGAATGTGTTGTAGATGAAGCTCCAGGATGCCCTGACTGCCCTTATATAGAGTTCGGGACCAGTGTATGTACAAATAAGAAGGTCTCCTGCCCGAGGGGTCATGAGCCCGAGGGAGGGGCCTAACTATCTTGGCTTGCAAGTTACGCCGTCTTATGGTGCACGTCCGAGCGTGGTTGTCGTCATGGTATTGTGCCCACATCGCGGTAAGGTGTGGCGTGGTGCTACTGTGTCAGTTGTAGTGGCACTGTTGGCATGGTTGTGATTCGCTAGCCGTCATGTGCGATGTGACCTCTATCGTGGTCTTCGTCATCGTCTCCTGATATTCTAGGGGCACCGTACAGGATTTGGTGGCCGTCCCCAGGTCGTCAAGCGTCTGGTTAGCTTGTGGAATAGGAGGCCACGATCCCGAGCTCCAAGGTCATGGCTCCCGTTAGTTTGGATAGCCTCTAAGTCAAGGCCTCCATCATGGATCCCATCCTGTAGTGGGTAGAATCGAACATGTGTTTTGTTGGACCGTATTTGGATGGTGGGTCGCCGTACTGGCAGTCACCGCCGTGCGTTGTTGTCTTGTCTGTGCTGCGTGGCACAGGGATAGCGTCTGATCGGACCGAGGTGGCCGTTGTCCCCTCGATCCTTGCGGGGTTAGTGCGGCGTGCTTACTCTTGTCAGAGCAGGCACGCTTGCCTGGGCTTGACCTCTTCCCTTTCCTCCCAAGGGTCGGGGCGGTGGAGAGGTCGTGAGTCTCTTGTGCGTCGTGTGGCTAAGGCAGAAGAGAGGGGTCATGGCTGACCCTAGCCTTGGCATTTGGCCTGATTCACTTGGCTCAGCTGGGCCTCGGGCGTTCGAGCCTTCGTTAGCTGATGTATAGCAGGCTGGTCGGCCTGCTAACTAATCGGTGCCTTAACACACCCAGGGATCATAACCCCGACAGATGTTCTATGCTATATTTAGTGATGTTCGTGTAATATTAATGTGATGTATTATGATGTATTTGTGATGTCCGGTAGTATTTTTTCTTCTTTTATTTGACTATAATTAATTACTTCACTAATTTTAGTTTTTATTTTTTTACATTTCATGATATATATGATGTTCATGTCGTATACATATGATGTTCTATACCATTTTCTATGATATTCGTGTAGTGTTAATGTGATGTTCAACGATTATCTTCAAATACATGTTCATCATGAGATAAATGTGATGTTCGGTAGTATTTTTTCTTCTTTTTATTTGACTCTAATTAATTACTTCACTAATTTTATAATTCTATTTTACATTTTCATGATATTAGTGATGTTCACGTAGTATACATATGATGTTCTATGTCATATTTAGTGATGTTCGTGTAGTGTTAATGTGACGTACTCCGATGTATTTGTGAGGTTCGGTAGATTTTATCTTCTTTTTTATTTGAATATAATTAATTACTTCGGTAATTTTATTTTTTTTATTTTTTACATTTCATGATATATATGATGTTTGCGTAGTATACTACGATGTTGTATACTATTTTCTGCGATGTTCGTGTAGTGTTAATGTGATGTTCGACGATTATATTCAAATACACGTTCATCACGAGATAAATGTTCGTTAAAATTTTTTATCGAAATGTATCCGGGTCTTATTTTGATTTTTGAAAAGTTTATTGGAAGGAACACGCAATCAAATTTTAATTAGGATACTTGGTTTATAAGTTACGATTTTTTTATTTCAAAAATTATGGGATATGTGATGATGTCAATAATTTTGAATTTTACTACATAGCTGCTGTCTGATCTGTATGACCCGAAAAGACAATTGAATTTGGTCCATTTTAGCGAGGGAGGAAATTATTTGGTCGGCTGGTCGGCGTGCCCGCGTCTCCTCGCCCGAACTGACGAACTTGTGAGCAGCGAGACCAGCGCGTGGGGCGCTGACGCCATCGCGCCCGTCGGCCGTCGCCGGTCGTAGAGACTAGAATAATAATTATGTGCTGCTCTGACTTTGTCAGTGTAATGTGTGGGACGCTATAGGTGCCGTACTTTACTTACACACCAACTTCAACCTGTGCTTGTAAATAATCTCTCACCACTAAAAAGAGTAAAATGTGGATAACTTTTCGTGCGACAAAATTATTCGGGTCCTCGGTCTGTCGAACCTGCGATCCCCGCTCCGCGCGATTAGCTACGTAGCGCTCGCCCAGCATCGCGGGGTTCTCCAATTTTTTTCTTCCTCACCCGGCATGCGTCACGCGGTTCTCTCCCTCCCTCTCCGGTTTTCCTTTCTCTCACTAAAGGAAGTTACGATCGCCAGATCAGAAAAAAGAAAGAAAGTCACGATCGCCCTATAGCAATCACCAGTCTCAACTCGGCAAGGCCGCGTGATTGCCTCACCTTGCCCAGGGACTGTTTTTCCATTACACAGGACAGGATAGGAGGAGGTAGAGGAAAGCGAATCTCCCGCCACGACTCCGGCCACGATCATCTCACCCACCGCCGCCGTTGACGCCGACCGCCGAACACCAGGAGTCGGACGAGTGCGAAGAGGCGACCTCCAGCCGCTACGGCCTAGGGAGAGGCGATCTCCACCTCTCACCGTCGGCCTCACTCGCGAGGGATGGTGTCGTCCCCTCGCCGCCAGTCACGCGGTCGCGCCCTGACGCACACGACGCCAGCCACGACGTCGACGCCGACCGCCGAACGCCAGGAGGCAGACACGACGCCGACCGCCAGACACCAGGAGGCAGACGAGCACGAAGAGGCCCTCGGCGCTGCCTTTCCCCTATTGCGACTGGTTTATTAGTTATTCAGGTGTGGTTTATGATTTCATCCTATTCTGAATGACTTTTTTTTTTGTTCAACTTTCCCTACTCAGCGGATGATTTGATGTTAATCGGATAAGCATGAGAACCACTACCATAAGATGGTCGCTGCATATTTGAGATCATGAAAATTTTGTTTAATCATGTTCCTGCTCTAATGCTGAAAAGGCTGTGTGAACGAGGTGCTATTAGAACCTGCTTATATGACTGCATCCTACCGCGCCTTGCATCATTTCAGGCTTGTGCGTCCCAAGGTCAGCTAATCAGGTGACCCTTCATTGATCTTAGAAGTCATATTCTTCATGTATTGACGGTAGATGCAACCATATAAATATCAGTAGATGAGGTGATTACCGAACCATTGCACAACGCCCTTGCCTTTTTTTTATATCAACGCCCTTGCCTGTAGCCTCCAAACAAAAAACAGGAATATACAGTCAATTGATTATTGTGGCTCTGAACATTTTCTTTCATCACTTACAGTCCTAGCTAATTTTGCATGCTAAGTAAATAAGTAGACATTTTGTTATTATGTTTATAGATTATAGATGCACCTCGCCTGTGTGTTTAGCTAGCCATGTCTACTAGCAACCAGCCTTCACTGAAAAAGGATGCAGCAGCACCTTTGCCATATAAATTTGACTCAACCCAACAACTTGCTTTCTGACCAAACTGAGCCTTTGTAATTTCAATCCCTGTAAATTTACCAGGTTTGTTTGGGATTCATGCTAGCTAAAGTTTCAATCCCTGTTATTTTAGTCAAGAAAATTCATATGAGAGCAAGATCTTATTTCGTGTGAGAACATGTGTTGAAGAGCTGGCATCACTGCCCGTCGCTAACCTCTATCGCGCGTTGTTGTCGCCCAGCCCAATGCACGTCGCCTGCAGCACTGTAGGCTGTCCTAAGGTCAGTCCAGGTGTTGCTGAGTGCCCTACTGTTCATGATATAGCATTTTAAGATTTTTTTCACTCCTGCCTATTGTTCAGGTCCGGCAATTGTAAGCTGAAGTGGTTTGATTGTTGATTTTCAGATTCAAAATCATCGAATGCTATGATCAGTTACAAATTTCTTTTTTATCTCATGAACTGATGGAGCAATTACAAGTCTGACTGGTTTTGTGCCATCGATTATTGATTTTGAGCGGTCCTCTCCTGTCAAGTTATTGATTTTGTTGTGCTTCTTTTTCTTTAACACAATCTATCTGTTTAATCAATGCCTCCATTCACTATTCACTGTCCGGCAATTGGTATGCATAGGCACAAACAAAACAAAATAAAAAGGAGAAAAAGGATCTCAATTCAGTACAGATTTAGACGCACGCGCTCTACTAATGCTTGACCAGGGCAAACAATAGGTCAGTCCAAGTTTATGCTTTTCTGAACCTAATAACTCTGATTTGCTGCCTTGAAGGGTCTGCATGACTGAATCATGAAGCACACTTAATCGAGATTTCACAGCCATCGATGTTATTTTTTCATCTATTCAGGTCGAATGTTTTTTTGTCTATTCAATCATTAGCTTCACCATTCATCTGCTGACAATTGGAAGGGAGTGTTGTGTGTTTGTTGACACATATGTGTATTCATATTTGAATCATTCAGGGTTCAGATAGCACTATACTCGAAGATTATTCATGGAATTTTTTTAGTCCTAGGTAGATGATGGGATGATTTTGTTCCTTGCTGTTGCAGATTAACTCAGATAACCAAGTAACTGGACCATGTACTTTCTTTTTCTTCTTCATCCTAAATGACAGAACCATATATATCTAATTTTTTCTACTTCCTTCAGTGAAAACTGAAGGTATTACTCAGAAGTTTGTCTTAGATTACTTTTTTTATTTTGGAGGTTCTTGCTTAACCCCTTATCCTGTGACGCATGCATGCTGTCAGATTGTTGTTAGCAACACAACTACTCTATCTTTGGAAAATCATGTCACAGGGGATGTGGCCACAGCCCAGCACCCAGGATATAGGTCAGTTTTTTTTTGCCTGACCATCTAGATTATACGCAGAATATTGCTGGTGCAAATTTTGTCACATGTTTATGATAAAAAAGCATAGGTAATCTTTTTAAACCGTAGTTCTAAACAACTAAACTTACTCAGTTTAAGGAGAAGGTTCTGATTTTTTGTTGTCTCAAAAGTAATAACATAATTTGGGGTAAAGTTTTCAAGCATGGCTCACTGAGGGCTGCTCCAATCAGTCATGCCAGTTCAAGTTAAATCATGCCGCCCTATATGCAAATAACTAATAATTTTCCATCTGTGAATTCATTGTTTCTGAGCTTGATTTCCAGTCTGATAAATATTTTTGCACTCTATTTTTACACTGAAGAATTATCTGATTTATCACTTTCTGATTCTTTTTGCAAAATCATGCATTCAGAAAAGCAGATTTATGAAGGACTTTAGAAACAATTTATCCAGTCTTCAATAGAAGCAATGTCATGTGGAGCTGGATTACTGATAAGCTTGGTCTGAGAAAAGAAGTTGCTCCAACTATTCAGGATTTTTATGCAGACTCCATAGCACTTCCATGGCATTTGATACAAATTTCAGTGGACAACTTATTAATTGCAGACCATAGGTAGGCATCTCTTCTCATCTATCCATCTTGACCATTTTAGATCCAATTTGATTAACTTGCCCTCATATAAATGCTTTCATTAGCAGTTTGTACAATCTGAAATCTGATGTAATGCATGCATTTTATCCATCCTTTTATGTTAGACCAAATATTTGGTCCGGGGATGTTTTACATTTCTGGTAGTGAGGCTGAATGATAATATTTCTAAATACATACTGTTCATTATTTTGGTTGATATGGGAGGAGACACATATTAGTGAAATTTGTTGCATTTACATTTGGTGTTCAACTGATGTTAATGGTGGTTAGTGGCTTAGTGATATATTTCTTGTTTTAGTTTTGCGTACAGGCACATCATGCCAATAGTGCACTACCGTTGGTTCCCATTGGGAACAAATTACCTGGCTACTGAGTTATTAGTGACTCTTCTTGGTCCGGACACTTGCTACTTTGCAGCTTTGGAACTCAATGGACCCCAACTGGCAGAAAGCAGGATATTGGAAGAGGTTAGTATTGACTTGTTTCGTTTATTTATTGGATTTTTTTTCTTACCTCATTGAGTTAAAGTTGTGTGAAGGCAGAGCTGAAGTAATGGAGTCATATCAGCAAACTGTAAAAGAGAGGTGTGCCCTTATTAAGGATATGCACATGAATTGGTCAAGTGCTAGAGTGCTTTCTGATTCAATGGAGAAGATCCCTAACAATGAGCTTATATCATCGATTGGAAGATTTCAGAATTACATTGTCTTCTGTGATACAGGTTAATCTATGAGCTGTTTGATATATAGCTCTATTTTGGAGTCAAATTATAAAAGTTGGATTGTATCAATTCTTTTTTGTTTCTTTGAAGATGGTCAAAGGGTTCTGAAGCATGACTTGGATACCAAGATCACCTCAAACATTCAGTTTTCTAACTGAGAGGTACTTGGGTTGCCATATTGGTTTGTTTGCAATCTCGAGAGAGTATCAACCTGGTGAGCTGCTGATTCCTTGTTAAACATAGAAATTGACCTGCTGATGAAGTGATGATAGAAGCCTGCTTTTCATTGTTCTGACATTTCCATGCTGTTTCTTTGAATTGGCAGGGGGCATTCATCTGGTCAATTTCAAGAGCATGTACATCAAGTAGACGTGCTTCCTGGTAATTGTCGGATTGCCTATTTTCTTCTAATAGTATATGCTTATAGCGTTGAAATTGAACTGTTGATAGTAGCTATTACATTTGTGTGATGTTTGTTTGCAATAGTTGGATCCGTGATTCTACTATCATTTCATCATTGTTCAACATGCAGGACTAAAGCACAGGAAACTTGTTACCTCAGAGAAAATGATGCTTTTTGGTACAAATTACCTATTTCCTCTACATTTTTTTCTTGTCAACTTTTGTGCCTTGAGGTTTCAAAACTATTCATTTGACAATGGAAGTTACAATAGGAGCAATAGAGGTATCTGTATTTATATATTGCAAGTCTACAACTGCGAAAACAAAAAAAACCCTTAAGCGTCAAATGAACTCTTAAGCATCAAATGAGAATTCCTCTTGAACTTATCTATGCATGGTGCCAGCGCCGCGAGGAGCATGCCAGCGTGGAACTGCTGAAGGTGAACCGCGGGGACAACGCGAGGGGCCTGGTGGTGGCAAAGCACGTGCACCTGTGGCTGCGGCTAGAGTGCCAGGCCGGAATTGGGTCGCTGGGCTGTGGTTCTTGCTGCCGTGGAGTGCCAAATCTGGAGCCTAGAGGATAGTGGAGGCCTCTGCGCCTCGCCGGCGACTGGTCAATCCGAAATTCGTTTAGCTAGTTTGGTTAGGCTGTGTTCTTTTTCATCCTTGCGAAATTCATGCTGTCTGGAGATTGGGGGAAGGTTGCTATGTGCTCTAATCTTGTGTGGACCTTTTTTCCCACCGATTTTCTGAATTGTCAAGGCTATTCATGCAGCTGTGGCGTATTAAGAATTGTCAAGGCTAACCATGCAGAATGAGCTGTACTTTGATCAGCTTCATAGCAAGCGGTGATTTTGATTAGTTAGTACCTTCCTACCAGATATATTTTAATCTACCTGGGCAGTTGGGAAACAACAAAAAAACACATTAATACTCTTACATTGAGTTACTAATTGTAGATACTAATGGAAACTGATAATTCAAAGAGATGGTTAGTTCTAAAAGGTTGAAGAATCAATTAATCTTATTGTGATGATATGAACTTTCATGTGCGTATGCACAAATGTACAATACTATAAATGCATACCTTAATAATTACAAACCATCGATGAGAATTTTAGCCATGCACAAAATTCAATTTGTAATATTGACATTCCGAACATCACGCCCGTATTATCGTTTTTTAACAATACAACACGTTCGTGCTTAAATTATCGGGGCATTATTTTTCCCGTTGCAACGCACGAAAAGATCTATACAGTAGAGTTTGTGAGCCTGTGACGACGCGCTCTTCGTTACTGTATTAATTTCATAAACTTTGTCTTTTGGATTAAATGTCACTTTAATGTTGGTATTTAATTTTACAGTATTGTTATCTTATCGTGCGATCCGTGTATTTTTAGTACAAAAATTTAGCTGTCCTATACCAATGCACGGACACGAACCTACTAATAAAAAAAAGTAGGCCCAGCAGGGGCCGTCGGCGAGGCCCTGCACAGCCGCGAGCCCCAGGTCTCCGTCTCGTCCAGGAGCCGGCTCGCTTCAGGAGGTGGCCGCTGGACGGCGCCGTAGGGCACATGGCCATCGTGGAGGAAGGCGACGTGCACCACCAAGCCTGGACGCCAGAACAATTTGTATTTTTTTCTAAAATATATGAACAATTTAATATATATTTCTCTGATATCTACTATCCATAAAATAATTTATAATTTTTTCTGAATAATTTGACATATAGTTGTATTATCTCCAAATTACACTACTCTATCCAATAAAATGCATTGATGAAATTATTATAAATATAGAGTGTAAATATAGTTAGAAGACAGTGTAATTGCATGGAAAAAATTCAGTTGACATGAAAGGCTAAAACAACTTAATATCACGTAGACAGAACGACACCAGCAACTGGAAAACGGGAGGGGTTTTACCCTTGCTGAAAATTAAAATAATATAAAAAAGTTATTACAGCAGAAAAGACAAAAGAAAGCAAAAAACAGAAACATATACTACAACTGAATCTAGCCATTATTGTACGATAAGCAGGGAGTACTCTCTTTTTTCCCTCCTTTGCCCTATGGATAACAATGTTAAGCTGTAGCTTGAAGATATTTTCACAAGCATCAATTGAAACTCTCTGTCGCCTGAAGAGTGAAGATATATTCCTTGTGAGTAGTTCCGATGCTCCAGTTCATTATAATTAAAATCCCCGTGAAAAATGCAACTCCAGCTCAGCACTGCCTTGAAAAGTTTCTAGACTGTAAAATGGTAAAAAAAATTCCTGCACATGCAGGTTTATGGATCTCGAGGAACCTATCTCTCCTTGAAATTTCTATCTAGGCTCCGTTCGGATGGTATAGTTCTGGAGGAATTTAGATGGTTTGGAGGAATCTGTGAGAGGAAAGCACTGTTCTGGATAAAAAAAGAAGCGGATCAAGCCAGGTTTAAGGGCACGCAAACAGGACCTTTGGGTAATAACCAGAAAAAGATTCTCTGCTTAAGCTGACATGTTAACTTCCAGATTCAGTTGACAAATTGATGAACAGAACAGTGGCCTTTCAAATCAAATGTTGGCATGCCTCTGTGTGAACTAAAATTAGCATTAGCATCGGCCCATAGTGTACGTCCGGATCTCATTCTGGTTAGGGAGGTGCAGATTTACCATGCATGCGTGTCATCACCAAGTTCAATTCGTCAAAGGCTTGTGTTTTCAGAGGCAAATGAAACGGCGAGTGAAAATGCTGACCGCCCCGCTGCTAGATACGACCGATGTCTTTTCCTCAGCTTGCGGACGCACGGGCGGAACGACACCTGCAACCCTCCACGCGAACAGATGAGCAGCCTGAGCCGTTGAGTCGTTTTTTTCTCGATCGGCAGCCGCACCTCCGGCCGGGCAACCTCGTAGGATCAAAGGGCGGATTTCTTTTTTCTCGACCAGCGGATGGCGAAAGCTACGGAACCGACGTCGCCTGCGCGGCGGCCCTGAAGATGGCCGCGGTGTCATGGTTAGGAAGGGCCTAGCTCTCTGACTATTGGAGTATGTGAATGACGGGAGCAGTGATTTATTTTGCTTGGAGCGTGAACGCGTGACCATGGTCGAGCTTGTGCCTCGTGAGGTGGCGTAGCTTATATTACAGGATGAGTTGAGGGGTTACGGTGTGACGCAGAGGCACACGCTAAGCTACTCTGCTGACTTTGTGTGTTGTTGAAGTAAAAGAAAAGGCACTGTAGATATGGGCTAGGTGGGCCAATTGTATGTGTGGAACTAAATGTTGTCGGATAGAATCCTACGCGTTCGAGGCCCGCAAATGGTACTGGGCCAACACAAGTATTGATTCCGCAAACGGTGATTCTAGTGCCCAGACATCTGGGGCGATTGCGTCCGGATGCTGGTCCCACACGGTACCCCGCCCCGCCCCCCACGCCGACCTCACTAGTTGCTGAGATAGAAACACCTATCCATCGACATACAGTCCTCTTCCTCCGATCCGTGCCTTGTCACCGATGTGATCGACGTTCTGTGCCGATAACGCCGCCGCGACGGCGACGACCATCGAACTACTCGTTGCTGAATACATACGACAATCACAATGTGGCGTGGTACCGCGAAATGACAATCTGAATACATACGGCTACTTTCTAGATCCAATTCGTGACAGTGGAAGGAACTGCCATAGAATGATCGAAATGAAAACATACTGAACATATACTACATCTCTTACTCCCTCTATATCTGGCGTGGGCAGGCTGATTCCAGAGACCAAGACGAGGATTAACTCCTAGTAACAGGCTAACAGCCGCGCCGTCCGGGAAGGAGCGAGAGAGAAAACACTTCGTATCTCATCACTCGTATAGGTGAAAAAGGCAACCGAGCTGCATGGCTGGGACGCACGCATGCAACGCTTCGTTTAATCGGCTCCCTAATTAATTAGCCCTCGGTATCCTCAGGCCGCCAGATAATCTGGCCAAATAAAAAAAACGGGCGTGCGCCAGATATCGAGGACCGGAGGGAGTAGAAATCAACAGAGCCGCCGCACCTCATAAATACATATTGTACATATAGAAAAATAATGAATAGATTGCCAGCACAAGCTGCTCCAACCAGGAAACACACACACATACTCTGTCTGCAACGCCTCATGGATTCAGGAAGAACGCCCAGAGGCCGCCGGCGGCCGTGGCGACGGCCATCGTCCAGACAAGGGCGCCCACGAGCGGCGGCATCAGCGGCGCAACCCTGGACGCGAACATGGCCGTGAACAATGTCGTCAAGCACCACACCGCGGTCTTGATCCTGGCATCCCTGCCCCTGCCGCCGCCCTGCTCGTACTCACGGAGGCAGAGGAAGAGGAGCAGGAGAGCGGCGTCCGCGAGCAGCACGAATCCCACGGAGCTCGCGTCGCCCCAGGAGCTGTAGAAGGCGAGCACCGAGGTGAATGCCAGGACGCCGAAGCCCAGGCTGGTTAGACACGACCCTTGCCTGTCCATGCCAACTCGCGCGGTGTGAGCTATTTTTTCCCCCCTCTGTATGACTGTATGTGTGGAGAGTTTGGAGGCTACAAAGCTCAAACACAAATAGAGTCTACGCTAGGATGGTTGATCGAGGAAAGCTGCCATGGACCCTTTCGGTTTCCAGACAACGTTATATATAGGGCGCGGTACTGCAGCGGAGCCAATCATCAGTGCCCACCCTCAAAAAAAAAAAAAGAGCGGGTATCGATCGACTTGTGCCTTTTTTAGTTTTATTTAATAATAAAAAAATGGAAAATACTATATGAATGGCCGACAAGCCTCATTTTGATCACGGCGTCGGCAAAACGCGTGCTTCCCCCCGGGATGATTGTCCTGAGACAAAGTGACAAACCTGCAATGAACTTAGGCCTTATTTAGGCCCTGTTTGGTTCCAAATAAGTTACCTACTTATAAGTTAAAAAGTGAAAAAAGTGACTTATTTTGCCAAACACCACAAA